CCCTACAGTGAAAGCAACTTGTCTGATAAGGTCAAGGAAGTACTCACTGACACCTGTTCTGACACCGATTAACCAAATGTCTACATGGCTTCTGAAAGAACAAAATTCATTTCTGTAAGTGAATGTTTGTAAGTTCGGTAATGGGGCAAATGCGTCCATGCTGAGCGATGTGCCTCCTCTTTGTCTCTTTTCCTGAACATCTTTGTCCTTTGTGCATCAGCTAATCCTTAAAACTCTTAGACTCTGAAAGTCCTCGGTCATGCTTTTGCATGCTTTTCCCTCTATAAAAATACCCAGTGGCAATATCATGGATAACAAGACAGTAGATATCTTCCTCTGTTTATAAATACAGAGCTCAAATCTTATGTTAGCCTAGAACAAGTAAGACCATTCCCCCCATTCCTTGTATATTTTAATATTTTTCTTGTATTTGCTGATACCACAGCCTCTGACAACCCATCAGCCTAATTTATCTGTCAAGTCTGTGTGTGAACTCCTTAGGTCTTCGCACGGAGAGCTTGTGTCTTTTACCCGAAAGGTGCAGCACTTGTGTGGCGTTGGAACAACGAGTAATAATATTGCAAAGAAATGTGATAATCAAGAAAACTTCATAGAGTATCAGGCACAGGACACTCAGTGCAGTAAGATGTCCTCTCTTACTGGAAGTATTTGATTTCTTCAGGTCTATGTCTAATCTTCATGTTTGATGGATGCTGTTGATACTAGACAGATCCAGTAGTAAAGATACAGGGTTTCCTACAATACTCTGTGATGCTCCCACCGAGATTTCTCAATCTAAAAGAATCACTAAAAACAGAGTTTGTGTCTTCAGTCTTTAAAAGTAAAGTCCGAAAGAGGCACACAAGGGCTCAGGCTGTCATTTCTGTCATTTCAGTTCAGTGGTTTTTATTCTTAATGGAACATTGCTTAAGGATCAGTTACATCCTGACTGACAATTCTTTTAATAATTTTTTAAAAGAATCAAACTCGACTTGTGTAAAAACTTTCATTGAAGAGTTTCATCTTAGTTTGACAAATTTATCCTGTCCATTAAGGCTGTACGCATCCATCAACACTATTAATGGAATTGTTGCAAGGACCATTGTGCTATGTCTAGTAGATGGAATTAAGTAATAAGCAGGTGCAAAGTAACAATTCCAAAAACAATCTGTGTTTTCAAGAAAGACCTACAGCAGTTTTTAATGCTCATTTGTGCAAGTTAAACTTCTTCCTCTTGCTTCTTTTTGTCATGGGTACTCAGGTGTGACATTAACACTTCGTTAGGCTAAAAAATTACCAAAAAAACGGTATGTTACAATGCACTGAATAAAATACCTCCTATAAGCAATGATAGATTGTGACCATAAATTTGCCAAAATGAAATAATAATCAAAAGATGCTTTTAACACCACACAAAAAGGTAGTTTGCGTCACTGCTAATCTCATGCCACTCAAGGGTTTATTGTTCATCCTTTCAAATTGAGATTTGTTATATACATTCCTGACCTATGTACAGAGTCTACTGGGTTTACTTCTGTTTTGCTGATAAACTGCAGCAGATTCTTAGGTGTCAAAATTCACATGTCTCAAGACTCTAGTTTCTAGAGATACATTTAGTAGGAAAATTAAAGTCCATATTAAATCTCCTTTTGTAAACAAACTGCTCATTGGATTTACAGAGGACAAACATTAAAGATGCAAATATCCTGCTAATCTTAAACAGTGACATGGTTAAACATGTAGTGCAATGTCATCTGAAAAAACCAAAACAACACAAACAAGAAACAACCTAGCCCAGAAGAGTTTCTACAGCTGACAGTAATTCTCTTATTATATAGTCTTTGCAGATGAGTTTTTTCAAGTTGGTTTCAAGCAGAAAAATATTCATATATATATATATATATATATAT